ATTTTTTATTCCATTTACATGCTGAAAGGTGTGGAAGGTTTTTATTAGCTAATCTTTTTATCTGCCAACAGTATGTGAACACAGCATCCAGTTTTCCTCAAGCTGTGTAAATATTGTTGCTGTCTCCACCCGTTTCTATGCCCTAGTTAGTTATTACAGCCATTTGTCATTCAAGAAAAGCAGATGGTTTTCTGGAGCACAGGTTCCTTAACTCACTCTTTGAGATTGTCACACTCCTCCTCCAGTCTGGCCTTGTCTTTACTGACCACAAGCAACTGTGATTCTCTCTTCTCTAGTCGACTCGAGAGCTCCTCGATTATCTGGGGAGATAAGAAAAAAGAACAGAATATAAATTCCATGTCACATACAAATAAGATGAATAAAAAATGGGGGTCAATAGGATTGTTTTTTTAATTAATACTTTTATTCAGAGACAAAATTATAATTTTACTAAAGCTCTAAATAAATGTTGTTCTTTAGAAGAATACTGAAAAAGAATGTATCAATTTCCATAAAGATATTAGGGAGCACAACTGTTCTCAACATTGATAAGGAGAATAATAAGACAGAATGTTTCTTGAGCACCATGTGAGTATATTAAAATTATTTTCTGAATGATCATGTGACACTGGAGAGATATTAAATTATTTTTAAAATAATTTTTCACAATATTACTGCTCAAATAAATGCAGTGAGCACTGGAAGGGACTTGTTTGAAAAACACTACAAAAATCTTACCAACCACCATTTTTGAACGGTAGGGCATATCTAATAATTACATTATACATCTTATCTTTTATATAAATATTTATGGAAAAGGCCAACCTTTTGGAGCTCAAAAATCTGACAGGGAGAATCTCCTTGTTTCTCCTCAGTACTCTGTGATATTACGGTTTCATTCATATCTGATTTTTGGCTAGTCAATGTGAGGTCAGTTTCAGGTCCCTGGTCCTGCAGCTCATCCGTCTGCTCACAGTTCACTGGCGTTGCACTGCGACCACTTTCCTCCATCTCGTTATCATCCAGCGACTGGTCATTTACTGACTCAGTCATAACCTCCTCTTCCTTCTGATTGGTCTGTGGCGCTGACTGAGCAGGAGCGGGCAAATGTCCAGCTGTGATGGAAGCTAAGGTGCGGTTGCCCGGGATCTCATCATCAGAATTCACTTCGCTGACACTACGGCTGTCCAAAGACTGCACGCTAAACGAGTCGATGCGCTCAAAGGCATCAGACGATGAGCCGCAGCTTTCAGTGAGTTTTGGGTATTCATCCAGACGAGGGAAGTCGGCACACGTTGAAGCGGAGAGTAGTTGGAAAGAGCCCTGCATTAGGTGGAGTCCAGCTTTAGCCTCTGCAGTCTCCTGTCTGGAGCTGGCCGAGCTCTCGCTTAGCACGCTCTCATGGTCCAAAACCTCTATGTCGCTGGTAGTGGAAGTACCAGAAGAGAAGGCACTAACAGGGGGAGATGGGGTGTCGCTTTGTCTGTCCTCTGATTTAGCGTCTTTGGATTCTAACAGGATTTCTTTAGGAGGGACAGGCAAGGTTTTCACTGAATTTTTGGTCTCGATGGTCAAAGCTGCTTCAAACACTCCAGCAGATTCAACCTCAGTAGATGATAAAGGTACATTTGTGAGTGTGACGTCTGAAGGTAAAACTAAGCCATCTGTCTGTGTCTGGTCCTTGCCGGTCTCCTGTTCAGCAGTTTGCTCTGGTGCCACGGACGCAACAGGAACAACCAGTTCTGGTTGAGACTGCTCATCTGCCGAGAATGAAATTTGCTCCAAAAGCTCTGTCCCAGTTGGCTTCATCTCAATAGTTTCCAGGCTGCTGCGGTTACTGAGGTCTGTCTGACCTTGCGCTTCACTGACTTCCAGCTCCTTCTCCTCGTCTGCTTTTTCCCGTAGTCTGCGGTTCGACTTGGCAGGTGGCACAGACACCACTTTAGTGTTGCTTACAGTTTGTATGTCTCCATGAGGCAGAAAGGCACTGAAGAAATCCTCAGATTCGTCAACCACGGTCCATGTGACAGGCTTAGTAATGGCCTCGGATGATGGAGGGAGAGTTTTGGTACATTCCTCTGAGGGCGAGCTCCACTGGTTCATACCCCATCCTGTTGATACCGGCTTGCCTGGTGGATCTGGAAAAAAAAAGGTCACTCCAAAGTCAAGTCACATTTATTTATATTGCACTTTATACAATAAAGATTGTGTCAAAGCACATTCATAGTACTAAACAGGAAACTAACACTGTTCATGTTGCAAAATGCACCACTTATGAAACATATTCACTGTCAGCTATAAAGCAGCTCTACAGAAGGCAACCGTGTCATTATTCAGCTCAGTGTTGATTCAATTCAGTTCAATAATAACAAAATAAATCAAGCTACTGAATCAAACATATCTATTTTATAAACATAAACAAGCGAAAAGAAAAAAACAAATCCAACATTCAGAAACACAATACATCAAAATGACAAACTCTTTTGTATTCTTTAGTGGCTTTTTGAGGCATCCGGTTTCATCTTGGAAATTCAATTCAAGCTTATTTGTATAGCGCTTTTCACAGCACATACTGTTTCAAAGTAGCTTCACTTTGCTATAAGGAAATATTCTGTAATTAATGATCATATGGCAGTAATATACAGTGGGTACGGAAAGTATTCAGACCCCCTTAAATTTTTCACTCTGTTATATTGCAGCCATTTGCTAAAATCATTTAAGTTAATTTTTTTCCTCATTAATGTACACACAGCACCCCATATTGACAGAAAAACACAGAATTGTTGACATTTTTGCAGATTTATTAAAAAAGAAAAACTGAAATACTGAAAAACTTGTTGCATCTTTCCCAAAAAGACTCATGGCTGTATTAGATCAAAAGGGTGCTTCTACTAAATACTGAGCAAAGGGTCTGAATACTTAGGACCATGTGATATTTCAGTTTTTCTTTTTTAATAAATCTGCAAAAATGTCAACAATTCTGTGTTTTTCTGTCAATATGGGGTGCTGTGTGTACATTAATGAGGAAAAAAATGAACTTAAATGATTTTAGCAAATGGCTGCAATATAACAAAGAGTGAAAAATGTAAGGGGATCTGAATACTTTCCGTACCCACTGTATAACTATAAGATAAATAGAAATTATATGGTTAGTCAAGTATTTAGTTATGCAGACACAATTGTCATGTTAAGCAATGATTACAGCTTGCGGCTGTAATGATTACAATATAACGGTAAGGATAATATTTGATCGTTTGTACATTGCAAATGAGGTTTGCAAAAGAAAGTCTTTCTTTGAAGAAGTTTCATGTTTGCTTTGGTCTGTGATTTTAAAGGTATGTGAGCCAACTAAATGTATGTAGTCAACTAAAAATATGTGCGTGTACTGGTTTATATATCCTGGTGGGGACTTAAACCTGACTACACACAGACTCATGGGGACTCGTGTCACGGTGGGGACCTAAATTGTGGTCCCCACGGGTACAAAAGCTTATAAATCATACAGAATGAAGTTTTTTGAAAATCTAAAAATGCAGAACGTTTCCTGTGAGGGGTAGGTTTAGGGGTAGGGTTGGTGTAGGGCAATAGAATATACGGTCTGTACAGTATAAAAACCATTACGCCTATGGAGAGTCCCCACAAGGATAGCTGACCAGACTGTGTGTGCGCGTCTACATTCGGGGACAAATGCATCATTATATCACTAATGTTATGCTGAAACCCAGTAATTGTCACTGATGATGGCACCCTGCACTGTCAGTAACATGTCTGTCTTCTTTCCACGTCAAGTTAAACCATTTATAACTAAACGTACCAGTAAAGGTCTGTTCGGTCGTGTCACCCCACTGGTCCTCTTCTTTGATGTCCAGAACTCTGTCGATGGATTTCTGAGCAGTTGTCAGCGCTTGTTTAGCAAAACTCGACAGATGTGACGCGTTGAACCAACTCATATTGCTTGACTTCCAGCTGGTTGCGTGACAGCTCAGCGAACGTCTACATAAAACACAACAATATCAAAAGCATCCCAAATAAGAGCAGGTTTACTCCACACTAAGAGCCGAAGCAAGTGGGTTGTGTTTGTACGTCAGGCCGCTGTCCACATTAGCTTGGCGGCTAATTCTGCTCGCAAAACGACTGACAATTTGCTGGCAGTGGACATAATCCAACGCTAAAATGAAATTCGATGATATAAATAAATAAACGACGTACTGGGCGACATTTTATTTGTCTTCGCGTTACTCGGCTTCTAAATTGGACTTCTACGCACTGTTTGTTTAGGTTTCCTCTGGCAGCGCGAGAACTACTTCCCATCCACGTAGCATCAACAAAGCCGCATCAACCTACCATGCGCGCGACGTCAGGGCCACGTCACCAATGTCTACAGTACAATTATTATTTTTTTATATATTACACTATAACCCATATAAAGTTATATAATACTGATATCTGTGAATTGTGTTTATTTTTTATTAAATAATAATAATAAATAATTTTCAGTTGAAACCTCTAGAACATAATTTTACTAAAATATGAGTTGACCGAATAAAAGTAAACGCAAACGCACTTTTTTTTTGTAAGTGCATGTAAGCACGACTTCTGTGTCAAGACTCTGGTAGGACTTGAACAGGTGTTTATTTCTTTTGAAAGGGGGACACCACGCGGTCTCACGATCCAATGCACAAATGTGGGATTTTGCTAAAAACTTTTAACAAATAAACATTTTAAATCAAGAGTTAAAAATGGTTTACTAAAATGAAGTGAATATGAATCGAAATTCTTGCATTAAGAAGATATTTTACTGAAATTAATATGAATCTAAATTGATATTTTACTTAAATATGAACTGAAGTTATTGCACTGTTGTACAATCATTTTAAAAATGTAATAGGACACTAAGTATAGCAATCAACTTTATCAAACAAATAATTTCACTGTAGCTTAATTAATTAATTAATTTCAGTTTGTAGCTTGTCAAACAACATACGCAGTTTGATCAATTGTAGTATGTGGTGCTGTGGCTGAAAAAACTTAGTCACTAAGGCCAATCTGACCTTGCGAATAAGTGTCTCCACTGTATTTCTACAAACCTGTATAATTTCACTGTAGCTTAATTAATTAATTTCAGTTTGTAGCTTGTCAAACAACATACGCAGTTTGATCAATTGTAGTATGTGGTGCTGTGGCTGAAAAAACTTAGTCACTAAGGCCAGTCTGACCTTGCGAATAAGTGTCTCCACTGTATTTCTACAAACCTGTATTACATAACAATGCCACATAAAACAAATAAAACAGTACAGTATACCTAATATCTTTCTTAACATTACATTGATAATGCAACATTCTGCGTTTGCTTACAAAAAGTCTATTTTAATTCTAGAGAATTTATAATAGTTTAATACCTTCAGTCTCTTTAAATATTTAATCAAATATATTTATTCACAAATTGAGTAAAAGTAAATGTATAGGAAAGCATTACTGGACTAGGACTTCAATACTTGTTTAAAATATGGTTTCCAAATTGAATTCAAAACATGAATCTTTTTTTCTACAAGACACTGAACAAGATACTGTGAATGCACAACAGCAAAATAAATAGATAAAGAAATCCACCAAAATGTCTCCTACGACTACAGCAGTGCAAGACAACGAAACAAATGTCTCTGGTAAGTGTCTTTGATGGACAGAGTTGACCATAAAATCTAAATACAAACTGCAGCGATTCCAGCCGAGCATGTGATGTCTCTGCTGATATGTTGAGTTTATAAACTACATTTCCAAGGCTGCTTCATTTTGATGATGACTGCATTAACCACTTGTAACTGTCTATAAGGACGAAGCATTTGTCCTATGAGATGAAGTTGAGCTTGAAGAGCACCGTCTGAGGAGTGGTGACATCAGCCACTGCCAGTTCCTGTCCATCGACTAGTCCAAGCTCTGCAAGCACAAGCAAGCATTTAAGACATTAAACAACATCAATATATTTTCGAAATACACTTATTAAATAGTTACATATACTACATGATATCACAATAGACTTTCAATCACCTTTCAGCGTTTTGTTTAGATTTGGTCGCGTTCTCTCTTCAATAGATGCTACGGTCTGAAAATAAAACCAAACAGATTCAAATGTTTTAAAAAATAAACCGCTAAAGCATAAAATGCATGTTCAGAAAATCCTGATCTAAGTGAACTAAATATGACAAGTCTGGTACATGTTAGAAATGTTCTAACCTGTAAATACAGAGTTTTGTTTTTTCCATCCAAAGTTGTCGTGATGGCAGGAGACTTCATTTGGCTAGTAGACAAAGGATTCAGTGTTATTACAAACAGGAGGAAACAGCTTCAGAAAAGATGTCAGATAACGCATGAGGAGAACACATTTTTTGCATTTCATCATATTTAACATTGTCATGTTCAATATTTATTTAACTAAAAGGAATATTATAAAATGATGAATCAGATTCTTTCAGTAGGCTTTGTTTAGAACAGGAGAAGATATTATGCATTCATTTTGGTATTGGCATTTCGTTGATATGCGTTCGTCTAATACAGTAAAATTATAATTTAATGGCAAGTGTATCTAACCATTTAATTAATATAGTCATAATTTAGGATGATAATAAACAAAAAAAGCTGTATTAAATGTATGTATCAATTTAGTTTGTTAGGAATACATTTCAAGAATCTGAATAGGTAAAGAAGATAAGCTGGTAAGTACTGTATTTGTAATCTTGACTCTTTATTTGTAAGCCATATGCTTAGATAATCAACAGTGCTTCTACTCTAAAAATTGTAACAAATTTTCACTTTAGTTGCCTTTACTTCATTTTCTTTAACTATTTTATATGATAAATATTCTAAGAATATATGTATATATTTATACAGTATGTGTGTATGGGCATGCATGTATATATCTTGTTTATGTATATATTTTGTTGATGTTTGTTTTTTTATGGTAACATTTATGGTAAATTAAATACATAAATAAAACAAAACAAATATGTTAAAAGAAAACCATAGATGACCATGAATGAACACGGTGACTCACAGAGAGGCATTCTCAGTCAAGTAGTCCAGAATCTCCTGTAGTTTAGCTGAAGGTGGGAACTGTAGGTCCTGTGGCACCTGACTGCAGGCAGAACAATTCTCCTACACAGAGACATTCAGCATTAATGTCATCTTTTAGTTATGTCCTTTAAATCAAGTTCAAATCATTAACCTTTCTCTCAGCCTCAAAGGTGTACGTGTACAGCCCATCCACATCATTGAACACCAGGTAGTTGTTCAAGGGAACATAGGCGCTGTTCAGCAGAAGTAAAAGAATAAATCAGACATGTGAATGAACGATGAATTCAATGCTCTCTCCTGGAAAATAAGTCGTTATACCTTACCTCGTGGCAATTTTAAAAACCTCGGTGGCGCAAGCAGCTGAAATGTGAAAGAAAGGAAGAAGCTCTATTTCCAGTTGCAGCTCAACTTATTGAAAAATATCAAAAGAAAATCAAGCACCATTAAACCAGAGAACACTTGCAATGTCAGCATACCAGCAATAACAGCATTTGTAGAAGCCACAGCAGGAATTATTCTCTTCACGACCCCTGAAACACAGGTGAGGTAGAACATCAACTATAGGAGCTTCTGAACGATAACTTACAAACTGCAATATGTACCATTATAAGTATAAACTTGATTTTGATATTTTCTAAAAGAAATTACAACAGTGCTTGCCTATGCAAATTTATGCACCATGATGCTAGTGCATTGTGGGTGGTTGCCAGGGCATTTGAGTGTTTTTATTTTGTTGTATCACATTGTTCTGGGTGGTTGCTAACTGTCAAGAGTCAAAAGACCCCCGGAATGAAGGACCTAGAAGTTCCTCTGACATTCAGGTCTCTCAATATGGTTCGGGTTCCCAATAAGTGAACCTAGGACCTAAAATTTTCAGTTTCAAGGTTTATACACTACAGTTTAGGGTACCTTTTTATTTTTTTTTATGTTTAAAAAGAAAAAAAGTCTCACCAAGGCTGCATTTATTTGCTCAAAATACAGTAAAAACTGTAATAGTGTGATATACTACTACAATTTAAAATAACTTTTTTCTATTTTTATATATTTTAAAGTGTAATACAGCCCTGATGGTGAATTTTCAGCAGCCATCACTCCAGTCTTCATTGTCACAGAATCCTTCAGAAATCATTCTACTGCTTATTTGAAACATTTCTTATGATTATCAATGTTGAAAACAGTTGGACTGCCTGATATGTGTGTGAAAACCATGATAGATTTTAATGTATCCTTGCTAAATAAAAGTATTGTAATTTTGTACATTAGAGTATCTCTGGACATTGTCTCCATCAAAACTGTTTACAAATGAGAGGATTTTACAAAATTGCTAACAGGCCCTTCTCACTCACCCTGGGTGAGTCTGTAAGTCACCCCAGTGATGCTGAACTCTGCTGCTCTTTCCAGAGATTTCTGGTACACCCACTGGATGTGCGTTGGGTCATCTCCATCTAGGCCTACACCGTCTGAGGAAAACACATTCAAATGTGAAATAATAGCAGACTACCTAGCAGCAACATGACCAAATATCCAATGGTTGTTTGAGACTCAATGCAGATCCTGTCAATTCAAGTACCTCCAAAAGGCTTTTCTTTGGGCCAAAGAAGCATGCGGACGTATTCAACGCAATGTTCTGGTAACCGTGGCATTGAGGCTATAGTGCACATCGGGAAGTTTATCTGTGTAGGGGACAAAAATGAGTATGACAAAAGGCTTTTGAAATTTAACTTAACACAAAATCCCAGTGTGCACCTGTGGAGGGTAGAGTTCGAGGGTGCAATCGATGCAAGCTGTCATGCCTGGAAGAATGACTCGGGCATTGCCCTTGAAGCCCTCTGTGCCTCCATCTATTAATGGAATAATGGAACTGAGATCTAGGACACCATCTTCATAAATCAGCAGAGATAACTGAGAAAGACAAAACAAGGAAATACTTTATAATAACTTTCATTAATAAATCATTAAGAAACATTATATAATGTTTAACAGATCGTTAGTTAATATATATTCAAATAGAAAAGTTTCAAGAAGTGCATGATCATATGAATTGAAAATTTAATGGCATTTGTAAGCATTTCAATTTACATTAAATAATGATCTGGTAATCATTAGGTAATGTTTAATAACTACATTAGTAAACATTAACAAGCACATTACCTCATATTTCTAGCTATGTGAATATATATTAGCTATAAAATATATAGCTATGTGAAAATATAAAACTAAATGCATAAACTATAATATAAGCACTTCTCACAGAATAGAAACACTTTATTTAAATGACAGAGAGGACTTTAGGTCTATGCATTTATACGGACAGATTGTTATATGTTCAAGACAATAAACACATACCAGCATCCCATTCATCCATCTTCTGGCAACAACAGAGTCCAGGCCACAGACTACTATGTGAAATTCTAGACAGTAACAACAAAAATAATAATAATAATAATTAAAAAAAATGTAAAAAGTTTTTCCAAGCAAAAACTGCCCTCAAAAAGTGTCATAATATATATGAAACAACAGTCTCACAATGCAGGACAAAACTGTCACATATAATATTGACATTTTAGACAAAAGAAAAAGGTTTATAGGGTATTTACGCCTGTAAAATGTCTCATCCAAGTCCTGGATTTTCTTAAAATGTCTGCATCGTTTATTAAGGTAAACACAAATATTTGACACACATATATATTACTTATACACTCTTCTTAGCAAAATATAGTAAAAACAGTTTAAAAGAACTGTTTTACATTTGCCTATATTAAATGTGATTTATTCCTTTGATGGCAGAGCTGGTTTTCAGCTGCCATTACTCAAGACTTCAGCATCACATGATCCTTAAGAAATCATTCTAATATGCTGATTTTTGTGCTGAAGAAAAAATTCTTATTATGATAAATGTTGAAAACCGTTGTGCTACTTAATATTTTTGTGGAAATCTTACTGACCCCAAACTTTTGAACGGTACTGTATCAAATAGAAACATATAGCAGCATTTCAACATGCCCAAAAATGAAAATGTCCTGAGGGAATGATTAAAAAAATGTTTTAGAATTTGAACATCCAGGCTACATTTAATACACTTTGAAGGATACGGGACAACATTGCAGCCTGGGACCCTGCCATTTACAAAGTCTGCTGCAACCTCTGCCTTTGGTCGGCCCACATCCTTTGGTCTGTAGATACAACAGCGATCAGTTTACATTAATAAAAAAGAACAAGAAAAGGCTCAAAAAGACAGCTATCAGCTGACTACGACTAACCTGAAGAGGAACTGTCTGTTGAGGTTAGAAACATCAATGGTGTCCATGTCCACCACATGAATGTGCCGAAAACCTGACAAGGCCTGCGTGATAAAATTGCACCATGTATGAGCATGATAGGACAAAACACAGCAATTAGCCTCTTTGTAATTTCAAGGTATAGAGTATTGCAGCTGTCATTATGCATTGAACAAACAAGAATCTGTCTAAAATAAAAATACAGCACAACAAAAACTGTACCAGATCTTTGAGCAGCTCACAACCAAGTCCACCAGCTCCAATAACCAGAATTTTGCATGTGTCCAGTAAAAACTGGAGAGACTAGAAGAATATGTGCACAGTTTATGAAAAGAGAAGAGAGTAGAGTAACATTCAGGTTTTACAACAAACCGACTGATCTCATGAAGCTAAAATAGCTCAAAAACTATCATCCTTTATTACAATGGTGGATTATTGTGATGTTTTTATCAGCTGTTTGAACTCTGATTCTGAATAATATATATATATATATATTATATATTCTCTCTCTTTTTTTATAATTTTATTTACATTATTTTTCCAGGTCTGTAAATCTTCTTCATACATCCTGTTGTTGAGGGGATACATTAAAATGAGAAATATCTTGATTTTTAGATGTTTTGTTGTATTTTAATGCTTGATTTGTCATTCATCTTGTCATCTTAAGGCACCCTGATTGAGAAACTGCTTTATTACAGTCACAGAACAGAACCTGAATCAAATATTCTGCATATAGCTTATAAATTTTTTTTTTTTTTAATTAAATAAATAAATAAAAAAGAGGTAAACAGAAGAAAAATTACCCTATGGACATAATCATTTTCAGCATGAATCTTTATCTGTTACAATAATGTAATAACCCCATGATAACCTCAGTCAAAACACTCTGTCCTATAAGGCATGGATATTTATAAGAAAAAAGCTCTTGCTGTACAACTTTTATTTATTTTTATTTATTTAATTTGGTAAGAAGTAGAGCACAATAAATGCACAATAAATAAATTAGCAGCCTGTCTTGTTTTTTTTTTTTACCAGCCATTAAGTAATCTACACAAAGCAAAATGAATTGAAAAAATAAAATGAATTGTTCTGATAAAATGCCTCCAAAGCTGAACTTTGTGATTGACTGATTATCTCCCTAAACGTAGCCATAGATTAACGTAAACATTTTTAAATGGGGTGTGGAATATACATTACATTGAATTATATTATTATATTTAGTATAACAGAGTTCATTGAGATGTATGTCATACCTCAGTGCTGGGTTCAAAATCCGGATGAGTGAAGGGTCCAACTCTCTCCAAGAACTTTTTGACATGGTCCCATCTTCCCTGCCAGTCTGTGTGATCCCCACTCCCTCCATCCACAACCATACTGTAGAGAAATACAGCACACTCACTACTCAAGCTTATTTAGTAATTACAAAACACATTCCCATGTGTGACCCTGGACCACAAAACCAGTCATAAGTAGCACGGGTATATTTGTAGCAATAGCCAACAATACATTGTATGGGTCAAAATTATTGATTTTTCTTTTATGTCAAAAATCATGAGGATATTAAGTAAAGATCATGTTCCATGAAGATATTTTGTAAATTTCCTACAATATATATAGCAAAACTTAATTTTTGATTAGTAATATGCATTGGCATGGACTTAATTTGGACAACTTTAAAGGCAATTTTCTCAATATTTAGATTTTATTTATTTTTTGCACCCTCAGATTCCAGATTTTCAAATAGTTGTATCTCGGCCAAATATTGTCCTAACAAACCATACATCAATGGAAAGCTTATTTATCCAGCTTTCAGATGATGTATTAATGATTAATTAATGATTATGACTGGTTTTGTTGTCCAGGGACACATAGAACATAATATACAATATGTTTGTATGTACAATAATAATTAAGGTATGGCTTGAATGGCACTGAATTTAGGAAAATTTCATAATTAATAATAAGAAAGTGTTTTATATTAAATGTTATGAAAGAACATTAAGGCATGTGTGCAAACAGCAGTGTTTGGAGGTTTCGCAAGCTTTCACCGCGCTTTCAGATAGATTACGTTGTATTTTATGTACAGTGGGCCTATATGCGGAGAGCTGTTTAAAATATTGTCTGAACAATATCTGCAGTACGGATGAAGCTCATTCTAAGAATCAACACCTCCCAAAGCAAACCTGCTGGCTGCCACATCTAAATTCTTATCTTTCATTTCACTAACTTCTCATTCAGCTCCTCTATTCTCCTTCTTTTCTTCTCCCTAAAAAGAGAGAGTAAAAGAAGGTTCATTCATGCTCTGCTATCCGCAAGTTAACGTTCTTGCGTCCTGTTGATTGAACTAAAGCACTGTTACGAGGGATTTATGTGCAGTCTTGTATAAAATTTCACTTACGGCTCCTCTCCTTCCGCCATATTGTCATAAACATTCGAAATGAAACGTGCAACCTTATGACAAGGCAGAGCTGTAATCCACCTGACGCACAATGTTGTTTTCAAAATAAAAGTCCTGAAAATAGTCTGGAATTCTTCATAATCCAGTCAAAAAAACACATTTTAATAAACAAAATGACAGCACAAAATGAGCCAGTTCGTGAAATTAGTAGTCATGGGCGTCATGTGACACACAGCAGCCACAACATGTTTTTTTATTTATTGTTTTTTATTCGAAACATCCCCAAACGCATTAGTTACAATAATGTAATAACCCCATGATAACCTCAGTCAAAACACTCTGTCCTATAAGGCATGGATATTTATAAGAAAAAAGCTCTTGCTGTACAACTTTTATTTATTTTTATTTATTTAATTTGGTAAGAAGTAGAGCACAATAAATGCACAATAAATAAATTAGCAGCCTGTCTTGTTTTTTTTTTTACCAGCCATTAAGTAATCTACACAAAGCAAAATGAATTGAAAAAATAAAATGAATTGTTCTGATAAAATGCCTCCAAAGCTGAACTTTGTGACTGACTGATTATCTCCCTAAACGTAGCCATAGATTAACGTAAACATTTTTAAATGGGGTGTGGAATATACATTACATTGAATTATATTATTATATTTAGTATAACAGAGTTCATTGAGATGTATGTCATACCTCAGTGCTGGGTTCAAAATCCGGATGAGTGAAGGGTCCAACTCTCTCCAAGAACTTTTTGACATGGTCCCATCTTCCCTGCCAGTCTGTGTGATCCCCACTCCCTCCATCCACAACCATACTGTAGAGAAATACAGCACACTCACTACTCAAGCTTATTTAGTAATTACAAAACACATTCCCATGTGTGACCCTGGACCACAAAACCAGTCATAAGTAGCACGGGTATATTTGTAGCAATAGCCAACAATACATTGTATGGGTCAAAATTATTGATTTTTCTTTTATGCCAAAAATCATGAGGATATTAAGTAAAGATCATGTTCCATGAAGATATTTTGTAAATTTCCTACAATATATATAGCAAAACTTAATTTTTGATTAGTAATATGCATTGGCATGGACTTAATTTGGACAACTTTAAAGGCAATTTTCTCAATATTTAGATTTTATTTATTTTTTGCACCCTCAGATTCCAGATTTTCAAATAGTTGTATCTCGGCCAAATATTGTCCTAACAAACCATACATCAATGGAAAGCTTATTTATCCAGCTTTCAGATGATGTATTAATGATTAATTAATGATTATGACTGGTTTTGTTGTCCAGGGACACATAGAACATAATATACAATATGTTTGTATGTACAATAATAATTAAGGTATGGCTTGAATGGCACTGAATTTAGGAAAATTTCATAATTAATAATAAGAAAGTGTTTTATATTAAATGTTATGAAAGAACATTAAGGCATGTGTGCAAACAGCAGTGTTTGGAGGTTTCGCAAGCTTTCACCGCGCTTTCAGATAGATTACGTTGTATTTTATGTACAGTGGGCCTATATGCGGAGAGCTGTTTAAAATATTGTCTGAACAATATCTGCAGTACGGATGAAGCTCATTCTAAGAATCAACACCTCCCAAAGCAAACCTGCTGGCTGCCACATCTAAATTCTTATCTTTCATTTCACTAACTTCTCATTCAGCTCCTCTATTCTCCTTCTTTTCTTCTCCCTAAAAAGAGAGAGTAAAAGAAGGTTCATTCATGCTCTGCTATCCGCAAGTTAACGTTCTTGCGTCCTGTTGATTGAACTAAAGCACTGTTACGAGGGATTTATGTGCAGTCTTGTATAAAATTTCACTTACGGCTCCTCTCCTTCCGCCATATTGTCATAAACATTCGAAATGAAACGTGCAACCTTATGACAAGGCAGAGCTGTAATCCACCTGACGCACAATGTTGTTTTCAAAATAAAAGTCCTGAAAATAGTCTGGAATTCTTCATAATCCAGTCAAAAAAACACATTTTAATAAACAAAATGACAGCACAAAATGAGCCAGTTCGTGAAATTAGTAGTCATGGGCGTCATGTGACACACAGCAGCCACAACATGTTTTTTTATTTATTGTTTTTTATTCGAAACATCCCCAAACGCATTAACTATATCATGAAATATCTTGATTCTCACTTTATAGATTATGTTGATCTATAGTGGGCGATGGTCAAAGTAACCTAATAATGTAATCTATTAACTAAGCATAAAAACCTGTCTGTTTACTTAATTAACAGATAAGGATGTCATGTCATAACATATTTTAATGCGACTGAGTTTATATTTAATGTGAATTTAACATTGAAAGTTAATGTGAATAAAAACATTGCAAGTGAGGCTACTAATCATAACACTTTCATTGTACAGAAAGAGAGCAAAGAACATTTACATTATCAAAGAACATTTTCACAGACAGTCTAGTTCAAGCACTCTCAAAAACTACCATTAAAATCATAGAAGCTGTTTACACTGTGAAGTGAGTATCTTACTTACAAATTCGTACACACGTCTGCACTTTGTTGTTTCTGACGAGAGAATTCACCAGAAAGAGGTATTCAGTCAGCGAGCGAGTGAAGAAAACACGGCATTTAGCGATGACTCATCTGAACACCTCTGATTGGTCATTGCATTCATAAGCTCAACAGCATCGCGTGTGATTGGTTAATGCGCAGTGCTGCAAAAACGCGTCTGTATTTAGCTCAGGCAGCCAGCGAACGCAGACTTGAATTTAGCAGCTGATGATAGGACGCACTGAACGTTATAATCACACCGGTGATTAAATATAGAAAATATTATTTGCCTATTTTTTGTCTTTTGGAAGCTGCATTCAAAATACACTTGGCTCAAAAATCTGAGGGGGCACGCACATGCTTATTGTAACTTATTGTATTTCAGGCGGATGAAATATAGCTCAGGCAGCCAGCGAACGCAGACTTGAATTTAGCAGCTGATGATAGGACGCACTGAACGTTATAATCACACCGGTGTGATTGTATTAAATATAGAAAATATTATTTGCCTATTTTTTGTCTTTTGGAAGCTGCATTCAAAATACACTTGGCTCAAAAATCTGAGGGGGCACGCACATGCTTATTGTAACTTATTGTATTTCAGGCGGATGAAATGTGAACTGTTGTATTTTCATTTTTATTAAAGGTGTCATATGATGCGATTGCTTGCGGTGTTCAGCCAATCACAATGCACTGGGTCAGCTGTCCAATCAGAGCAGACTACACTTGTCAAAGGAGGGGGCTTTGTAGAAAAGAGAGAGGCGGGGCATAGAGGACCTACAATAATGTACAGTATTTAAAAAATAATGTGTTTTTTGAACATTAAAGCATGTCAACATATTCTGTTACACCAAATACACAAAATAATGATCTTTAAAATAGCATCATATGACCCCTTTAAAATTAATTGTATTACTTTAAAAAACTATTAAACACTTAAAATGAAGGTGAGCCTCTTTTGGACTGTGGGGACAGGCGCAATTAGTGTTATAATTTGCGTAGGCTTAAGATGTGTGTACAGCCTACTAATAGTGTGTGACACTTCATATGACTTTTTTTAACAACTGACATGTATGTTAATGAGTATAAATAAATAAAAATAAAAAATGGTAAAGTGATGTCTCAGATTCATTTTAGCATTTAATTAAATGCACTTCTTTCTTATCAAAAAAATACACAACTGTAGACATGCACACGATCATGTGATGAAAAGAAATTCTGCATGTTTATAAAACGGCAAGATGTTCCTCTGCTGAAGTTGATTCTAAGAAAATTACGTTACAAGATGCTTATCGAATGTCACCATGAGTACTGAAATATTATTTGTACTATTACCAGGTAAAATAAATAAGTAAAAACATTAGCTTACATTACTTCAAATGTAAAATGGAAGTTCATTGCCCTACACATTGTTGTTGTTTTTTCTTTGCTGTTATGTTACATCCCAAATTTTATTCATGTGTTTGGTGTGTGAAAAAAAAGCCATTAACTTTTTCTGGAATGATGATGTTGTCTGTTAAAATGTCTTTCGTGTCAGTTAAAGTCTGATTACAAGCGCATGGACTCATACTGCCAGGGTAGCCTATCTATGACGGTTTCTGACAGATTTCTAACTGAAATCTAGTTCCTTTATAAGCTAAATTACAAATAAAATTGTCATTGTCAACAACTTTCTAAAATAATCTCTATAAACAGTATTTTAAAAATGCAATAATTGCAGAGGAAATTACACCTTTGGAGACACAGTATTACAGTCAGAATACAGTATTATTTACGTGTACTTCTTTTGAGATTTTATTTTTTCATTGTTCTGGTGATGGTAGCTGGTAGCTGGTGATGAAGCCCCATTCTTAGAAGCACAGAAAGATATAGAAACATTTTGTTTACTAAAATGAGAAGTATTTTCAAATATCAAAAAAAAAAAAATGTACACAAAATAGTCCTTGCTTATTTGCACACCTGCACACCATATGACCAAAATAAAAGTACCCATGATTCTGCCAGTGGGTAATATTTGCACATTTTGGCTAAATCACTTGTGACTTTGCAAAAACGAACCCCCCTGAAATGCACCAACATCCCCCCAAGTGTCCTCACACCTGAAAGGGGTATTCTTGCAAGTACAGCAGCAGCGGCCGTGGCAGTGGCAGCTGTGTATGGCAATCTGTATGTCTGTTTATAGTGAGGCGTGTGAGGTGTTGTAATGTTGGAAAGGCCTGAGCCCTGTACAGGGGCTTCCTGAGCTTCAGCAGGATGCCATTGTCCTTTGACACCATGTGATGTTGTTCTGCTATCCTCTCCTCCCCTTGACTCGTGGATGTATAGTGCTGCACGAGACTAGGAAGAGCAGAAAAGGACAACAGGCTAGATCGGGCTGGAAAACTGGAATCGAGACGGAATTGGCCGCTGTCGTATTCGATGCGGACATTAGTGGGACCTCTCCACGTCTGTACGGATAGGGTGAAGAGGTAGAGTGGACGGCTGCTGTCACGGACAAGGAAAGTCCCTTCTGATGCTCCAATTAGGGCATCCCTTGCCTCACTGGCTGTCATACCACCCCAGTACCATCCTAAAACATAAAGAAACTATATTAATATGACATACACTATCATCTGAGATGTAACTACAGAAGAGTCAAGTTTTAAATAGGAAAAATATAGAGACACTTTTAGTCATTTTTGAGCGAGATGCTAATGGTCTAATCAGATTCAATGATCTATGCTAAGCTACAGCTAAAAGTGCTACCGCCAGACCCGGAGATTGGCTGAATGGATTCGAAAACAGTAAAACTCAACTGTTTGACTCTAGGGGAGTTGGAAAATGAGCTATTTTCAAAAATAGTGGAGTGTTCCTTTAAGTCGGGTATATTTGTAGCAATAGCCAAAAAAACATTGTATGGGTCAAAATTATAGATTTTTCTTTTATGCCAAAAATCATTAGGATATTAAGTAAAGATCATGTTCCATGAAGATATTTTGCAAATTTCTTACCATAAGTATATCAAAACTTAATTTTTGATTAGTAATATGCATTGCTAAGAGCTTCATTTGGACAACTTTAAAGACGAGTTTCTCAAAATTTTGATTTTTTTTTGCACCCTCAGATTCCAGATTTTCAAATAGTTGTATCTCGGCCAAATATTATCCTATCATAACAAACCATACATCAATGGAAAGCTTATTTATTCAGCTTTTATTTATACAAATCTCAATTGACCCTTATGACTGGTTTTGTGGTCCATGGTCACATATTAGAATGATTTCTGAAGGATCATGTGACACTGAAGACTGGAGAAATGGCTGCTGAAAATGTATCTTTGCCATTACAGGAATTTTAAAAATAATTAAATAGATAAAATTAAATTAAATAAAAATAAAATAAATTAAATAAATTAAATAATTATTTTAAATTGTACAAATATTTCACAATATAATTGCTTTTACTGTTTTTAGATCAAATAACACTGCAGCATTGGTGAGTAGAGACTTCTTTCAAAAACAAAACAAAAAACTAACTAAACCCAAACTTTTGAAGGGTATTTTACATTAGGATTATTCTAAGAACTAATAATAATAATAATAATAATAATGTTAATTTAGAAAACAAACATAATTCAATTATAAATAATAATGATTTATTTAATAATTAAAAATAATAATAAAATTTTTTGTTTTATGTATTAATTTCATTTATCAGCACAGAAATAAACTGTTGCTGTAGTCACTTTAGGACCCTGGTCAAAATCTATTCTTCATAAAACATCAAATACATAAATATAAAAAGATGACTTGAGACTCTGTATATGACCTGTTTATTGAATCCAGAATTAGACATAATCTTCAGTGATTGTTCAAATGAAGAGGGAGTCATTGACTTCCATTGTCTTTTTGTTTTTAATTAAACACGTTTGTTCGGAATCTGATTAGGTTTTATTGGTCAGTTATAATGGAGGGAATCTGACCTGATAGTTGCTGACACTGGACAGATGCAATCAAGAAATATGAAGCATAAGACAGAAGTGCACATCAGTTCCTCAAATACTTAAATACTAAATAATATATAGGCTACCTGAGGTATGTAGGTGCTGAAAGGTGGTGGTGATGAAACGCAAATCCTCAGCCGGGGCCCATGAGTAGGGAGCGTCTTGGGACCGCTGAATTTGTTGAACCTCTGATTCATCCCTCTCATTTTGGGCACTTGTATGGCTAGCGACCATTCCTGAAGGTGGCTCTGGCATGAGAGCCTTCTTATAAAAGAAACAAACACATTTCTTGACAATAATTACGGTGTAATCAACAGATTTGCTTTTCTAAACCTACAAAATGATGTGAGGTGAGACAGCGGAGAAACCAGTCCAAAGGTTAAAAATCGCTGTGCTTTCTATATCACTGCTTTGTCATTTATAATTTCAGTGAACTCAAAGAAAGAACAAACAAAGGAAGTGCAGTTTGCCAAGAACAAGAGAATGCACTCACATGCTATTTACACAACGTGGCAAGAATTTCAGTTGGAAAGCAACAGGGTAAACAACTATCTAAAACAGTATAAATAAGATCCATATTCTATTGGAATGCTGGTGTTTTTATAACAGTCTCAACTTCTGCCTCAATAAGTCAGAATCTATATGTTCTTTCTCACATTGTGAAACAATTATCATGATGGTTAAGTTACCATACTTAAAAAACTCATTTCTGAAATGTCCTGGAAAGGTGAAATATATAACAAAATATTGAGTTGCCTTCTTTTACAGACACTAATCTGCATACTGTATTTGATTTGTAAAGATTTTATTCAAGTTGTATTCAAACAAACTGCAAAGTATGATCACAGACATGTTATTAATTCTGTAAAATAAAAAAGGATTGAAAAGGAGCTGAACTACTATTGACATTTTCCAGTATTGAAACTGAAATAAAATAAAAAATAATAAATTCAATTCAATCACACCTGAATTCTGGGCCTGTACTCAACAGTTACATGTCAGGGAAATAAGCATGTTTGATTTTAAAACTATGCAATGTAGGCTACATTAAACGTTTTCATGTTTGCTCAGCAACTTGGTCACAAAACTTTTAGTGCATGTTTCGCTCCCTACTCTCTTAAAAATAAATGCCATAGAAGATCCTTTCTGTTTAAATGGTTCCATAAAGAACCTTTAACATCTGAAGAACCTTTCTGTTTCACAAAAGGTTCTTCGTGGCGAAAAAAGGTTCTTCAGATTACAAAAAGGTAAGAAAGAGATGGTTCTTTAAAGCACCTTCGACTGAATGGTTCTTTGTGGAACCAAAAATGGTTCTTCTATGGCATCACTGTGAAGAACCTTTTGAAGCACCTTTATTTTTAAGAGTGTATTGCACAATGCAACATTAAAAATCGCTTAGATGAGAGCAAAATGTTGAATTTCAGCAGCAGGAATCGGGAATGGATTACAATCAATTATAAAAGGTCGACGTAGCTACATGACATACGTGATGTAACCACTGCAGTTCATCACAAATAAGTCAAGTCAAGAGCAAACCCACCAAACAGGTATGAGCGCTTCACAGTTCCCATGAAACTAAAATGACTTTCGATATAAAACACATATATTTCTTACCTTTGTGGGCATAAAATCGTCACCTTCTGTACGCCACCAATGGGCAGAAGTTTGGAAAGACTGAAATTTACGCGAATCCTGCAAAGTGCCAAAGCTGCTGACATTGTTCCAGCAGTGCTATAATGGCGACAAAACGTCCACAAAGTGAGCGAATCTAGTCAACATCTAAACATTTTACAACAGTAATCTCTGATGCTGTCTAAGCCGAACGAGCCTTCTCTGTCAAATATTCTCCAGGAAATCGAAGGGAGCGAAATGAGGACGAAAATGACGCAAAACAACAAAAAAAGCTAAGTAGTAGTACTCAAACAAGAATAATGTGTCGTTTGGCTTGGTGGATTGTTATTTTCCTGAGCAGTAAGAAACGCCTTTGCAGCACGCTTGGCTGTTTTATGAGTTGACGCGCGTTCTAGGAATTTCATTCCAAGAAGAGCGCTACATCTTTGCGCCCGCGACCTCATCAGCGGCCGCTTGGCGTTTCGTAGAACTGCGCTCTCGACCATCGCTGCGTTTCCATTGGCTGCCGTGCGCCGCTGACGAAGCGCCCGTGCCGGTTTCAGAGGCGGGTGACTTTCCCAGTAAGGAGCTTTCCAGGAATGCTGGAACAGTCGCTGAAATTGACCTCTGCGCCAGCTGCATTAACTGAGAGATTTCTATGCGACAGCGAGGGCTGTGATGGGAGGTTGACTGCAAGGTAAGCGTAGTGCTGAGGAAGTCTGATTCCAGAAAATGTTTATTGCCAGAATGTTAGTTATATGGTTAATTACATCCCAACATCCTGGTAACTGATAACTGGTAACTGGCCCTGGAGCAGCACATGCATTACCCCTTTAAGAGATAAACCCAGAAGAAGAAGAAAACAATGGAATAACTGTTTATAATAAATATTAAAAATTATATAAAAATGCAATCATATATTTTTTTACATTTATGTTTTTAAAAACCTAACGACAAACAACTAAAGAGTATCCATTTTATATTAATTAAAATATAACTTCATTACTAGTAAGAAAGTATTATTGGATAATAATCACATACTAGTATTAAATTCAGTTGATGTATATATATATATATACTACTGTGCAAAAGTCTTAGGCCATTAGTATTTTCACCCCAAAAAAATAAAAATAAAAATAAAGCCACTAATGGCCTAAGACTTTTGCACAGTAGTATATATATATATATATACTACTGTGCAAAAGTCTTAGGCCATTAGTGGCTTTATTTTTATTTTTATTTTTTTGGGGTGAAAATACTAATGGCCTAAGACTTTAGCGTGTCAGAGACCTGTTAAAGTGTTAACTAAACATAATGCTTCTCCATGGTTAGGCAAAAAGGACATTTAACAAGACAGATTAATGGATTTTATTTTATCTTTAACATAAAAATCATCATCTAAACAACACATTTATGTGACCTTGAAAACCATGTGAGAATGTGTTTCAGAGTGAAAGAAGACTAGTTAAAATCGAACATAAAAAATAATAACCACGAAAAGGATAGCTAAGACAAGATATAGGCTACAGGCAATTGAGGGTGAAACTAAACAAGTGTATCAGATGTCATTTTACATGTTCTGACTGTATGATTCTAGCTCTCATCTCCATTCTCTCCCGCTCCTCTGATTAGACGCTTGTTCCCTCGTTTCCCTGTTGGGCCCTTTGGCTTGGTGAAGGCTTGTTTCAGAGCATGCTGCTTCAGGTAAACCTCTTCATACAGGAAATCCTCTGTCAGGCACTCTCCACTATCAATCTCCATCTACACACATGACACATGAACATACCGAAATGTGGATAAATATGAGTATTTGATTTAAAGCGAATGTCAAAATGTTATGGATTATGAAGTTATTATTCAAAGGTTTGAGTTTCAAAAGTTTTGATTTGTTTTTAAATATATTGAGATTTATACATCATCTGAAAGCTGAATAAATAAGCTTTCCATTGATGTATGGTGATGTATGGTATTTCCATTGATGTTGTTAGGATAGGACAATATTTGGCAGAGATACAATCTGGAATCTGAGGATGCAAAAATAAAATCTAAATATTGAGAAAATCGCCTTTAAAGTTGTCCAAATGAAGTTCTTAGCAATGCATATTACTAATCAAAAATTAAGTTTTAATATATTTACTGTAGGAAATTTACAAAATATCTTCATGGAACATGAATTTTGGCATAAAAGAAAAATCTATAATTTTGACCCATTCAATGTATTTTTGGTAAAAATATACCCAAGCGACTTAAGACTGGTTTTGTGGTCCAGGGTCACATATATTTAAGTAGAAACAAAGTTATATGAAATGATAATAATATTTTTACTTTATTTATGATCAAATAAATGCAGGAACTTGTTATATTGTATTGTAAGGAACTGTGTTAAGTAAAACTATTTTACTTGTAAAACTATTAGTAAAACTATTTTACTTGTTAGTTCAATATATAGCTTATTTTATGTCGTGATTACCAGCAAAATATGCACTTTGTACTTTGGAGGTCTATATGAAATTGTAAGGAGTAAAATATGATTTTTTTCCCATTCGCATGTATCTGACATTCTTGTACTCTTCTACTCAGGTCGAAGCTTGGATGTTCAACAGCTTTTTAAAAAGACATACTGTACAGTTACAGTATTAGGATCAACTGTTGCTGTTATTGTACCTTTTTGGCGATCTCTATGTGATAGTCTCTCTCTACCTCATCCAGAAGTCGATTCTTACAGCTGGAGTACAGCATCCTTTCCTTGATGCTACAGCTATACCCAGGCATGGAGTAGATGAAAACTGGTCCACATATTCAAACACAAACATAGCAAACATTATCTTTGAAGAACAAATCTCATTACTAATACTGAGAAGCCAACTCGGCATACTGTGATACTAGCAGAATAGTTACAGTAATATTTTGGCACTAACCTACAGCTTCCAGCGCCTGTCCTTGATGGGCGTGTTTGTACAGGAATAAGTGGTATCGTGGGGCATCAGTGGGGATTCTGCTCGGCAGATCTTTGGTCTCTGTAGGACTAGTGTGCACCAGCTCAATTGTCTCTCGTTCGGTGTCCAGCCGCTTAAAGATGATACAGTAAAAAAGTGCTTTGTTATTGGGCTTATGGAGATTATGTGGAGTGCGCAGCAGGCATAATATTCTATGTGATCATGTAAAATTGTTGAACTCTTATTCAAAATGTTCAGTAGGGTAAGAAATTAATACTTTTATTCATATACTATTTATTAAGTGGAAGTCGTGGCCTAATGGTTAGAGAGTTGGACTCATAACCCAAAGGTTGTGGGTTCGAGTCTCGTACCGGCAGGGATTGTAGGTGGGGGGAGTGAATGTACAGCACTCTCTCCCACCTTCAATACCACGACTGAGGTGCCCTTGGGCCCCAACTGCTCCCCGGGCACCGCAGCATAAATGGCTGCCCACTGCTCCGGGTGTGTGTTCACGGTGTGTGTGTGTTCACTGCTGTGTGTGTGCACTTTGGATGGGTAAATGCAGAGCACTAATTCCGAGTATGGGTCACCATACTTGGCCACACGTCACTTCACTTTTTACTTTATATTCATCAAAGAATCTTAAAAACAATATATCATGGTTTCCATAGATATTGATAGCATAGCAACACAACGTTTTTTTAAAATGTATAATAAGAAGAAATAGTGAGCAGCAAATCAGCATATTAGAATGATTTCTGAAGAATCATGTGACATTGAAGACTGGAGTAATGGCTGCTTAAAATTAATTTTTTGTCATTAGAGGAGTAAATGACATTTTAAAATATATTCAAATAGAAACATTTTTAAACTTGCAATAATATTTTACAAGATTACTGTTTTACTGTATTTTTGGTCAAATAATTGCAGCCTTTGTGAGCATACCAGACCTTTATTTACCCCATACTTTTGAACTACAACGTTTGTTTATTGCATAATAAATATTTTGAAGTTAGGTGTTTTGTTGCTTTATTTATTCTGAAATGTAATATTATGTAGAGAATCCTGTTATAAAAAATTTGCTAAATAAACAAGCCATATAACAGCACTATCAAAAGCATTTTATTTGTATGTATAATGAAAGTAACTGTTACTATATGTGCTTATTCAGTGCAAGCTGTACTGTTAAATATATATGTGACCCTGGACCACAAAACCAGTCATAAGGGTCAATTTATCGAAATTGAGATTTATACATCATCTTAAAGCTGAATAAATTAGCTTTCCATTCCATGATGTATGGTTTGTTAGGATATGACAATATTTGGCCGAGATACAACTATTTGAAATTCTGGAATCTGAGGGTGCAAAAAATCTAAATACTGAGAAAATCGCCTTTAAAGTTGTCCAAATTAAATTCTTAGCAATGCATATTACTAATCAAAAATTAAGTTTTAATATATTTACAGTAGGAAATTTACAAAATATCTTAATGGAACATGACCTTTACTTAATATCCTAATGATTTTGGCATAAAAGAAAAATCAATCATTTTGACCCATACAATGTATTTTTAGCTATTGCTACAAATATACCCCAGCGACTTAAGACTGGTTTTGTGGTCCAGGGTCACATATGTGGCAGTCTGAACAATTTGCTTTTTGCATGTGTGTATGTGGAACTTACTAGTTGAATGTAATTGATGCGTTTGAGTTTAAGCTGCTGTAAAGCATGTTTAGCCTCTTCTTGCAATGGGAACGACAAACCCTGCAAAGTCGGATTTTTACTCTCCACGCTGATCTCTGTCTGTATCCGAAACACACATAACAGAAAACAAGGATTATATATATATATATACAGTGCTGTGAAAAGGTTTTTGTCCCCTTCCTGTTTTTTTTATTTTTTGCATATTTGTCGCACTTAAAAGATTCAGATCATCAAACTAATTTTAATATTACACAAAGATAATGCAAGTAAATACAAAATGCAGTTTTAAAATGATTATTTATTTTATTAAGGGAAAAAACTGTCCAAACCTGCCTGGCCTACGTGAAAAAGTAATTGCCCCCTAAATCTAATAACTGGTTGTGCCACGCTTTGCAGCGACAACTGCAATCAAGTGTTTGGCAATGAGTCTTTCACATTGCTGTGGAGGAATTTAGGCCCACTCTTCTTTGCAGAATTGTTTTAATTCAGCCACATTGGAGGGTTTTTGAGCATGAATGGACTGTTTAAGCATCTCAATCGGATTTAAGTCCGGACTTTGATTTGGCCACTCCAAAACCTTAATTTGTGAAATTTAACTCAGCTTTCTAAAATAATGTGGTTAATTGCAGTTCTTTCATGTTTTAACAGGAGGAGGCAATTAATTTTTCATGTAGGTTTGGACAGCTTTTTTCCCTTAATAAATGAAATCATCATTTAAAAACTGCATTTTGTATTTACTTGCATTATCTTTGTGTAATATTAAAATTTGTTTGATGATCTGAAACATTTAAGTGTGACAAATATGCAAAAAAATAAAAAAAACAGGAAGGGGGCAAAAACCTTTTCACAGCCCTGTATAAACCTTTAATCTGTTACATTAAAATGTATTTAGATAACTGAGGCTACCTTTGCTTGTCCACTTATGGTGGCAACTCGTCTCCTCTCGTCCTGAATAGAAAAGTACAAAAGTTTTGTGAAAATCCCCTTAATACTTACACACTTGAAAACAAAATCAATCGTAGTACACTTACCTGTGCCACTTTGTCCTGTCAGGTGCATTATTAAGAAATACATTGTTTATTAGATATTT